AACATTTTAATTTACATTTTAATATATATATATTGAAATTATATTTAAATATACTGAAATTGCACTTCAATAAATAATTATTTATATTATATTAACTTAATTTAATTTTTTATTTTTAATTAAATAATACAAATTTTAATACAAATTTATTAAAAGTTGAACTAAAATTGCTTTCTAAAATAAAGTTGCACATATATGAGAGGTTGTGTAATCTATAATTATATGAAGTAAATTATATAAAGCAATTGTCATTCTTTTCTAAGGAAAGAAAGTTAACACAGCCTGTTCATGTTTAGAAAATATATTACCTAAATAAACATGTATATCTATCGCTTATAAAGTATGTGTTTAGCATTATAATTAATATTATACATATGAATATCGCTGATTGGGAACTTCAAATTTAATTGTATATATTTCCGATAATTGTGATCAACGAAGTTAATATTGGTTTAATAGCACGATCAACATATTATTTTATTTGTTCCTACCACCTAATATAATTTTCATATTACATTTAGAGTCATATTAATATCAATAAATAAATTGACAATTGATTAATTTTGCAATATATTAATATTAGTTAATCTATACTCAATTTAGATAACCTGCCAGTAGTTTACCTCCAAATTAAATATTCCGCATACATGAATAAAAAGTAGATTCTCTCTACGTTAATCAATAATTTCGAAATAAGCTGGCACTTTTCACGAATATTGATCACGAAAGCGATGTCGGGTTTCCCGAAGTTAATTTAATTTTCTCCGGAAAAAAAAACAAATCACGATAAAATTGTAATGGAAAAAGTATTCCGCAGAAAGATACTCCATTATGCACGAGTGGAAATAAAAATCTGCGGGGACTTTTTCGCGACACAATTAAGATTTTTCAACGACGTCTTTAGCTTCGTTGATTGCTTCGTTGTGACGCTTGTCATTCTTACCCAACATTTTCCCAACTTTCTATTTCTCACTGTGATGAAGTCAATCTTGTCTTCGGATTAGCCATTAACATATGGTTTTCCAATTCAAAATAAAACATTGATAATTTTGCCCGCCGATTATTGTACTGTTATTTTCTCTATTTTGAGAGACGTATTTATTCATATAAAAATTGAATATCATACAAAAAAATATCAAATTGTTTTTAAAGAAAGATTTAAAAAAATATAATTATTTCTTATGTAATCTGATTATATAATTCCTTTTTCAATAGATGAAAAACTATATGTAAAATTGTAAATTTTTTTTCTACACGTGCGCGCGCGCACGTGTACGTCATACATCAAATAATAAAAATACTATAAATAATCTAATATTTTAGACGTGTCTCGTAAAATCTGCAAACATCATAGTGCGTATTACGTTTTAAAACGCTAAACTTAAAAGAAAAAAAATGAAAAAAAGAAGATTAAAATAGAAAACTAATAAAATAAAGACATTCGAATTTTTTTCAATAGCCAAATCTATTTAAAAGCTTTGTTCGGAATATCAGCTGCGAACCAATGTAGCATTACGCAAGCATTGTAAAAGAAGCAATACAATGACCGGATTTATTTGATGCGTATAAAAATTTTTCAATGATCCCGTAACTGATACAAACCCAAGCAGCTTTTCCAGTATTAACGATCGCCATAGTAACAATCTATTTGGTAAATCTTCTTTCGCTCTTTCTTTTTCTTTCCCTTTTCCCTCTCTTTCTCCATTTCCCGCGCGTAAATGGATATTTACAAAAATATAGACAGAATTTTTGTTCGACGGGAGAAAACTATAGGGATGGTCGACTATCGTGCGCGCGCGTATACACCATCTTTCAAATTAGCATTTCAATTTGCCGTGCAGGTGTCCCGCGTGTTGCAGCCGTGAGTCAAACGAGAACAATCGAGCTGAGCCGAAGTCGGAGTCGAGTCGTCATCCGCCACCTGACATTTTCGATGCAAAGCTGCCGACAGCGAAGCGGGAAGCGTGACATTTACATACATACATATATGTATATCTGGCCCGTAACGCGCGCGGTGTTTGTCGTATCATATATCTGAGAGAATTCACGGTCCAATAATCACGATCGCTAAATTTCGGCTGAATCATATCTGGTGAATCTCATCGAGAGGTCGAATCAAATTGACAATAATTCCGAAGTTTACATCGAGGGAATATATCACTAGCTTTAAAAGTTAAGAATGCGAAAAAAATACAGAAAATAATGTTATGTTTTATTTATTACATATTATATAATTTTATTATTGATTTTATAGTGACTGATAATGAATAACATAAAAGTTTTATATTATTAATTTTATGATATTCGTGTTCTTCCTTTCTTTTTTTTTAAATAAATATTCTACAAAATTCAGCGATTAAATAATAAAAAAAATAAGTATTATTCAAACAAGAATATTGATTTATATTTGATAAATATTTAGAAATCATACACTATCCGTTCGATTCTCGTTAATTCCCGCTAATATTATACGAAATTTTCTCTTCTCTTTCTTACCGCTGAGTTAAGTTTTCGATGCATACGAGATAAAGATACGAGAAAAAAAAACATATCTGACATTATTTGTGATTTCACTGTCGCTAATACAAACAGATTCCCCCTTTTAGTATTTGGAATCTAAACTCACAAGATTTGCATCCCTTTAATCCGCATTAGATTTCATCGACGTTCAATAAGAGTCCTGGGATTGCAACAGCTGTTCGTTTATCAATAGCATCGCCATAAGTTGTAGATAAACGACGATTTTATACAAACGTAGTTACATTTTCGTTAAAAATATTTTTTATGATCATATTATTTCTTTTTTGTCAACCTTTTGTCACGTATTAAAAAAAAAAGCATATTATTTTTAGAATATCGATAATAATAGAGTTCAAATTCTATTTCTAATGAGTTCTAGAATCCCTGATATACTTCTGATAATTAACATTCAAATAAAAATAAACGAATAACAACAATAAAAAAATATCAACAAGAATTTTCAATTCTAACATGGAAATTTTTTTCAAATTTTCATAGATTAAAATTTTGTTTCGGAAATTTGTCATTTTGTTTTTTTAAATTTTGATAGTCCTTCAAAATATTCTCTTTATCAAAAAGTATTATAAAATTAAATAAATATAAAATAAAAAAATTATCAATTTATTATCAATTTTTATAAAGAACCAAAATTGCAGCAATAAAATCAAAATTCTAAAAATGGGATACTGATTTCGTGAAAATTTAAAATATTCGATTTTGTTGATTTAATCAGATCCCTCCACGAATAACGACGTCAGTTTCTCCGAAAGCAAAATGTCAAATGTCTTAAAATTCACATGCATTAAGAATTTTAAATATTTCCATCTCATATTAGGTAATAATAACACTCAAATATATGAGTCAATGTCTAAACATTATCAAATAAATAAGTACTTTTTTGAGATAATTAGTGTGAAATATGCCTAATCTTTACATAACGTATCTAATTTCTTATGTAACATATTATATTATACAATTAATGTATAATATATGTAGCTATTAAATTATCCGATTTATTCTCTAGAAATTTTCGATTTGATTCGTGAATATTTATGAATAGAAAGCTACAATCTCTGTACTCATAAATATAAATGTGTGTGTAACATTATTTTCTTCATTAATTTCAAATCTTTTATTTTAATTACACACCTGTTTCTCTATTTCTCTCACCATATTACAATCAAATATATCACGATTTTCTCGCAAGAGATGCAAAATTATTATTGTTGGCATCTTTACGGCATGAAATTAGCCTGCATTCTTGATTGCCGCCGATATTTATCTTATAAACGATCGACGTTTATATCTCCCTATGTCGTCGTCATATAAAAGAGGAATGTGCGAAATGATCGACGGTGAGATATATGACGAAATAAACGTCCAGGATATAAAAGTGACCGAAAGCAGCCAAGGATGTTTCGATCGTTTTAAATGCTTAACTTAAATTAACTGCGCAATGAGAAAGAGAGAGAGAGAGAGAGAGAGAGAGAGAGAGAGAGAGAGAGAAAGATATACATACAAGTTCTGCATATGGTAACAAAAAGAAAATGCACATGAGCCCCATAGGCGTCGCAAATCGTTAGCGAGTGTTATACTATAGCTATATAGTAGTACGCAATTACTTTGATTGGCGGCCAATTACTGCGACGTGACTACTTTACTTTTAACGAAAATAAATAATTATCGAAATAAAGCTCTCTTTAAGCGCTATTCCTTATTATATTCCCTATCACACGCGTATAAGATTGGCAGGCATGCAACATTGCTTGCAAATCATCTTGAATTTGTTAATTATCAGTGCCGTCTTTCCTAGTTAAGCTCCAAGTCATGTGTGTGATAAGCATCGAACGCAAATTCCAAAGTTGACGGAGCATAACACGAGAGAGGCGTCACTAATCCCATGATAAATTATTCAACATTGTTAATTAACGAGAAAATGTATATATAAAAATCATTCTTTGATAGACTAGGCAAAATTGTTAAGAGTACCACTCTCCGTTTAAAACATCGTATAAAAAATTTAAATATCTACAATCATATTAAACGATAATTTTAATTTCTGTATTTATATAAATATATACTCTACATTTTTATCCGTATATATATTTATCTTGAATAAGAGTGACTCCGAATGTCTTTTGCAATTTAAGAATCATCATCTTAATCGTGATTTAAAATTTGAAAGATTTCAAACAAACAAGAAAATCATATATCGCTTGAGTTAGCGCGTTAAATGAAAAATGAGCGCTCGTTCAGTTCGCGAGAGCGGAATCTAATCGCGAGTCGAGTTCTCTCGGTATTTTCATCGGCACGTGCGGCTAATTATGGCAGAACAACGGGTCTTCATTATAGCATAATATGCCGGCGTACTGCCGGGGTACGTACTGTTATCACTAAGTACATACGGTGCGAATACGACAAAAGAAACCGCTTTCTTCGAACTATTTTTAATATTTTCACATAGAGAGGAAGAGACTCACCTTAAAGCTCGTTGTGTGGTCTTCATCTTCGATGAGCTCCTCATCTCTCGCTTCGAATAGCGAATAGCTATATCTCTTCTTTCTCCGTCTATCTCTTCTCTGCTATCTTTCTCTCTTCCTCTCTCTCTCTCTGTTCTTCTCGTTCCGCTCTCGGCTACTATCCCACGGAGATTCGTCGTACCGTTGAAATGTATCGGGCTCCGATGATCGACTTTGAAAGCAAAACACTACAAGAGGTTTATTGCGGTATCGCGAACGTATATGTCCGAACGAAGCAGTTATACAGTTATTATTACTTCACTCGCGTAAAAGGATCGTATCACGGTACTCTCGCACTTAAATCACACGCAAAAATTGCGGTATTAATTTCACATCGGCCGCGAAACACTACTATGCGAAAAATAACACTCGCGACTCGTCAATTCTTCTCACGATGAGAGATTATCTACTACACAGTTTAAGTCCCTCTTTGATATCCCGCCTTGTAGATATCTCTGAACTGTCACAATGAAATCACAAGATTTAATCGGGTGATTTGTTTGGATGCTCATAAAGATTGGCGATGTGTATGTCCTTGTATCATCCTTCTAGAGATCCTTCCTTCCTTGCTAAAACGAACGTGAGGGCAGCTGACGGATGATCGACGCCTTCACCCAGGCATCGCGAGGTGCAAAAGAACGCCGCGAATTAGATCAGTGGGACTCGCGGGCGACCGAGAAACTTGGATCGCGAGCGGCGAAAGGCCTCGCAAGCTGTCTTCCTCTATCTTTCTCCACCTTTTCTCATTCTCGTCAGTCGATGTCTGCATCTGCAAAAATTTATATTTGTATTTTTTACCCTCTTTTATGCTCCATATCTATTTGTTTTTTTTTTTTTTCAAATTGTTATGTGAATATAGGCGCTTGTAACACGTCCGTTATCTATACTCTATCTCTCTCTCACTTATAGTCTCTTTCTAGATTTTACATATTCTTAAAGCACGGTCTTACATAATTTTATCTCTTGAATATCGCATGTCTCCGTTGCCGCTTTCGTCTTCAACTCTTCTCTAACCTCACTTTCTTCCGTCTCTCCATATCTATTTGTTTTTTTTTTTTTTCAAATTGTTATGTGAATATAGGCGCTTGTAACACGTCCGTTATCTATACTCTATCTCTCTCTCTCACTTATAGTCTCTTTCTAGATTTTACACATATTCTTAAAGCACGGTCTTACATAATTTTATCTCTTGAATATCGCATGTCTCCGTTGCCGCTTTCGTCTTCAACTCTTCTCTAACCTCACTTTCTTCCGTCTCGGGGAGGATCCTCTTTAAAACACGGCGAGTTGAGATCGTCTTTCGCCTAGATTAACCGCCGACTTACCCGACTCTCGCCACGCCACGAATCGGCACAAGATCGCCCTCGCGCATCACTCGCGTTCGCGGCCGCGTTCGTTCCGTACGAACGCTGCGCGCGCGGCGAAGGAAGTCGACGAGATACGGGACCGCTACCTGCTTCGATGCGTTTCAACGATCAAGCAAAACACCTCTTTTCTCCGAATTTGTCCGACAATGTCCAGACACGCGCACACACACCGTCGATGTCGATGATGATCGCTGCGAATTTTCAAAACGAGTTCTTTTTATCTCCCTTATCGTAATCTTATTAGGTTCTTGTATAATCGAGCGACGCGTTCACAAGAATCAGGGAGAATCCGTCGCTCGAAAGTCGCGAAGTCAGCGTTGATTGTAAACTGACACCTGTGTCGGGAATCTTTATAAATTTCCGCGGATGCTCCGAAAAAAAAAATTCAAATATGGCGGATGTAAATAACGACGAAATTCAATACGATCTTATTCCCGGCGCGTTCACAGAATCTATCACTTGTTTTCGTCACGCGACGTCGATCCGATCGATGAAGATCCAGGTCTCTTAGCGATCGTTCGGCCGCCGAAAATGCTCGCAAGTCGCACAGGTGATTGGTTGAGTAGAGAGGCGATCGCAAGCCTCCTCTACTCCGGTCGAGAGAGGAGTCCGGCGCGAGTACGTACGCGAGGACTGGTTTCACGACGGCCAGACTACTTCGGAGGCGATAGCACGGGACGGCGAATGCCCGGACGGTTGGAGAGCGAGTGAGACGGAGACGTTGCTCGCCGCGCAGCGAGAGGAGAGCGGCGTTCGCGCGCGCGCGCGCACGCGCGCGGAGGAGAGCGCGCGGTGGGTCCCGTTCCACGGAAAGAGGCTTATTCCACCGAGCGCGAGGAAGTACTGTTACTTAGATGGGGCCCGGGGGGGGACTGGGACGACACGACCCGCGCTGCATGTAATTTCGTGTGACAAGTAGCGACGCGCGCGCTTCTCTCGAACGAAAAACCCGACTCGATTCTTTTTTCTTTCTTTCTCTCTCTCTCTTTCTCTTTCGCGCACACGGATCACTAAATATTAAACACGGGAATCGGGATTGTTTTCACCATCGATAAAACGACGCGGTAACGACGCCGAGCGACTTCGCATCGTGTCTTCGTCTATTTACGTATGTCCCGAACGCGACTTCCCGCCCTAGACTAGAGAAAACACGAGTGGGAAGGGAGGGGAGAAGGTAATGCGGCGCCACTGCGGTCTGTAAACAAACTTCGTCTCGCGCGCGGCCAATGTTTTGAGTATTCGGCGAATGGAATGTTTACCCTTGCGTGCTCCAAGTACGTACGTGCGTACGTACGCACTCGTAACGGCGCTCGATTCGCCCCACCTGTTTTAATCGCGACGTACACGTGCGGGTGGACGGTTGTAGCTGTCGACCGGTGCTTGGCGTTCGCGCCGTCGCCTCTCTTTCCACAACGCGTTCTCGTTTCTAGCGTCGAGGAGGAAACGTTTACACGTGCATCGCACGCGTGTGTGTCAGTTTGTCCACAAATCTCTCTCTCTCTCTCTTTCTTTCTTTCTCTTTCCCACCCACTCTGACTCGTCGCGGAGCACGCGATTACGATACGAAACGTACACACCGCTCGACGGTCGCGGCTCGACTGGACGACCAACCGCCTCCGCTCTGTTCCCTCGTCGCGCTCACTCTCGTAACACGCGAGCCGGCGCCCCTGGAACTTGTATGTACCGGAGTTGAACCGAACGATAACGAGAGATTTCCCGGATACGCGCGAATTAAATAGCGTTCACGTGAGCTCGCACATTGAAGGTAAATTTTATCTCGATTAGGTTCTAAGGAAAATTTAAAAGCTGTATTAAACTGCAAAATTAAAACTGTTCTTGGAGTAATCGCGTCTCATGTGCAAAATAAATGTCAAATGAAAGACATATTTATGAAAATTGAGTGTAATTGAGCATATAATTATTTTCTGAAACGGTTTGAAATGTCTCGATAAAAATATATTATAGTTACTTCAATTATAAAATTTGTTCTTTAAAACATCACTCGTTTAAGTTTACTTCTCGCAATATCTGCCGATCTTTATTAGGTATAACATAGCGAGAAAGAGGTGCGTGCGTGTGTACATACCTGCGCGTGTTCTCGCGTAAACAGTAAAGTAGGCTGTGCGCGAGAGCGTGAGGTGAGCGGGTGTAACCGGTTCCAACGCGATTTTTTCACGAAAAGTACTCACGAAGCTTTATAAAATTGTACGTACCCTTTGTCGTCGTCGTCGTCGTCGTCGTCATCGTTGGATATCGCATGTGCCCTCGACGCTTAACCCGAACGAACGTGATGTTTTGACATTTGCGAGGATCTGAAGGATCCGGAAGAAGTAGCATTATCCGCATCATTTTTCCAATATTGGATCTCTCAAAAGACTGCAACATTTCCGTTTTAAATTCGACAACTATCGGGGAATAGTCTGCAAAGAAATAACAGAATATTTTAGTATTATTAAATATTTTGACATATACAATATTGAACAAATTATAAAAGAAGTGCTCTAGAGGAAACTTCATAATATAATTGTGTAAGAGTTTCATGCACATACTATTTTCATAAAATATGTTGATGCCGCAAAGGGCTCGCAACAATTTGTAATTTTTTAATAAAATAATGCAACAATGTATAAATAAATTATAACAATATCATAATTTAAGAGAACGAAAATTTTTCTTGTTAGCGCATAAATTTTTTTTGCTAGTAATATTACGCTTTGTTACAATTCATGTTTGTAATATGTGAAAAGATAAAACAGTATTATTTATTAATAGCGTAATAAAATTGCTGATTATATAAATATATCAAATTTTTTCACGTTATTAGCTAAAATTGAGTATTCATATAATTAAATGCATATTGAACATAATTAATTATTGATCAGTATTTATAATCATAATATAAAAGATTATTTGGTAAGAACATTATTATGCATTTTCATAAGAAATTTATGTAAATTGAAAGATTAAATCGTAAATTTATGGAATAGTATTTTTCATTAATTAATAGTTGAATGTATATTTATTTTTGTTCTTACTATTATAAATTTATGCAAACTTGAGTAAACCAATAGAATAAAACCTGTTATTTAACACTCAATATAAGTCGACTGATCGATTACTAAATCATATTATGCAATAAGATATAACTGTATAATTTATTACGATTTTTGTTGAATCAATCGAACACAATAAATTTCTTTACCGAATACTATTGATATCGATGACTATTGGTATCGCACAACTCTTTTCGGTTCGGTGAACATTAGATTTCGAATTTTTTTATTGAGTCGATTCGATGAAAGGTTTGCACGCTCCATGAAACTTCGAACCAATGACGGTGATCCGGTGGCATAATAATTGACATCGCGAATGTCCCATTTTTCGTTGTCTCCTGAAAAAAAAATTAACAGATACATCAGTTGTTATTTTATAACTTTATATATAAAATACGATATAATTAAATCAAATTTTATAATATACTGTGTAAGTAAACGCATAATAAAGTAAGTAATATTAAAATTTATATCTTCTTAATAAATTTTTCAGTATTGCATCATTAATTAGATTTATAGAATATATACATATAAATGAAAAATATTTGCAGAAATAATATGCTCAAATGCAGTTTAATTTAATTTAACTCTAATTTATTTTATTTTAATTAATCTTCTTTCAGCGCAAAATCGTTCGAAATAAATTTATCTTTTAGCACAGAGATATATTGTAATATATATAACTATATTTATTGATTCGTTTATTTCGGACGATTTTGCTGAAAGAAGATTAATTAGAATGAAAAATTAAATAAATTAAATTAAATTAAATTAAAAATCATTACAGCATATCAGATGACATAAAGATTTTAAAAATAGAAAAAATTGCTATTTTCAAATATTATAATTTAATTTTACTAAAATATTAATTAGTTTTTTATTCAGTTTTTTAAATTTTATTTATTCTTTATAGAGTTATCTGTTCTCGATAAATTATTGTTACTTTATCAAAGGAATATACACAGGGTCTCGTGATTCTATATTCGTTTCTATTTTTATCGGTTTAACAATTGTTGTAGCGTTATTGAACGAAAGATACCGAGTATAAAGGTATAGTAGTATCACACCTGCTGATGCTGCATTCAATAAATTGTATAAATTGATCGTTAGAGATTTCAGATGGAATATATAACACAATTAATCCACGATGACACTCGCAATTTGACACAGTATCCGCGTTTGCAGCTTCTGAAAAATGAAACAAAGTTTGCACGCATTTGCCACATATTGCGCTAGTTACAAAATGTCCCTATAGTGTATTCAAATATCCGGTTAACAAGTTCTCCATCAAAAATAGAAAAATGAAACACCTTAAGCGCAACACCTTTACGTAGAATATTATTACTTTTTGAGAAAAATTTATTCAAAACTGCAGTTTTACATACTTACAAAGATTTATGTCGCGCTGATTATTATGTATATGATAGTTTAACATATAATAACGAGTTCCGGAAAACATTTTATTTTATCGACTGTGTGATGATGAATCAGAAAATTGAATAACGTCAAACATTCTTAGGCTGATATTACATTCATACGATAAAATGTTTGTCGGACATATCGATTGGCAATCACATGGAGTATTCTTAGAATTTCGAAAGAGGCTCTAGAAATTCTCTATTCGATAGCCAATCGCTACGTCCGACAAACTTATCGTATCGCATTAATTCGTGTCCGCGAGTGAATGAAGGTGAAAACAAAGCGAGCTGCAACGGCGGTGCGTCAGCCGGTGAATGAAGCCGGATCGCGCTAATTAACCTGTTTTTTATGAATAGACGCGTTTTTCCGATTGATGAGATTGTGATATGAATGTTCGATACAAGTGAACGTGCAAGTGAGTTTAAAGTTTGAAGCAACGAAGGAACCAACGACGGAGCAACGGGTGCCAGTCGTTAGAAAAAGACAGCGAGCTCCATTTAAATAGCTCTATCTTTCTCACTCGAATACGATACTTTCAAATTGGGTAAGTTTATACTTTCGGCATTCGTATACTAACGCCCTCTTAGTAAATAACGGTTAGAACAAGAAGCAACAAGCCAATTCAAGTTTAGATGATAATGGGAGAAATATAGTTTTACCAAGGCAAGATGCGTACTTGTTGTATCGACGATCGGTCATATCAAGATTCTTCATTTGCCTCAGGATCTGTCAAGCTTGATAATTGACAACTTTGCTCATTTTTCTTTTTTTTTGTGTTGCTTTCATTATATCGCTTGTATACAATCTTCTGAAATTATGCATTTGATTTGATAAGTGCATCTTGTCTTTTGAGTGATTTTGGACTATTGCTCGTGAATTCAGTTTAATAAAAATTTTATTGAAATATTTGCAAAAAACCAATACATATTACACGCAATATAATTAATAATTTTACTTAACTTTACTCCAATTTTACTATAGATCTTTAATATATTTCGATTAATTGCGTGCACGAACGTTTAGCGCGTACTGCCATCTGAAGATATAGACATAAAGTAAATATTTAAAGCCACGTGCTGCGGTAATAAAAGTGCATTGTGTCAACGATGAAACATAAATAATTATCATAAAAATTATTTACTTTATTTAAAATTTTAATATATTTTAATTACAATTATATACTTAAAAGAAATATCAATTAATAAGCCTTCAATTACGAAATACAGAGAGCTTTTATATAATATTAAAATCGAAGATATCAATTCCCCGCGCTCGGGGCCATTAGACGACACGTCATTTCGTATTCAAACGTAAATTTTGTGCGGCAGCAATTATTTGGCATCTTTGCAATTCCATTTTCTGTTCTTTTAACTTGAGAAGCTGTTTCTTCAATTCTAATTCTTGATGTCTCACGGCCATTTTCTCCTTGTGTCGCCTCTCTTTGTTCTTCTCGGCCAAGACGAAATTCTTATCCATTTCTTCGGCAAATTTCTCAAATAATATCATCAAAGTTCGCGTATAATCCAATGTCTCTTCGTTTGTTTCATTCGTCATAGTTTTCGGCGCCAAAGGATCTTCGTTTTGTTGATTGACAGGCAAGTTACTGCTTTGATCGCTACGTTTCAATAAAATCAAAGGATATTTCGCTGATCCACTCGCCGGCTGTGGATCGTTCTTTTCCAGATATATGTATTTCTTCTTCTCGTTGAAGATCTCGTCCAACGCGCGTTTGTGTTCCCACTTTCCGTAGTGTCTCATTCTGCCGGGTTTTTTTAGCCGTTCACGGTATACGAGATTTTTATACTTGCGTTCCAAGACTCGCCATTTGTTCTCGCACTTCTGCGGGCTAAAGTAGAAGCCATATTTCTGCATCTCCAAAGATATCATATCGAACATTTCTCGCAAAGTCCTGATATGCGTCGATTGTCCGACCATCGATCGATATTTTTTGTACTGATTGATCAGACATGTAGTGGCTTTGCTGGTCCATAAATTTAATGTCATGTCGGCACTTGACGGTATCGCATTGGCATTATCGAAATCTGGAAAACTATTCTTATGTTGGTCCTCGATGTAGCACTCAAGAGTTGACTCCTCTATCTTGATTTTTATATCACCATCTTCTGTTAGAAATAATAATAAAAAAATGTTATACGCACGAAAAGGACATAGTGGCTCAAAACTTAATGCGTGTGAAAATACATTCACTATCATATAAAAATATTGTAAAGATAAAATATATTCAAGTTTGTGAACATAATAAAATTTGAAAATTTATAATATTAATTAATTACCAATCCGTCTCAGAACCAGCAATTATGATATATGCATATATCTAGACATGATGTGTTCGAGTTGCACTCGAAAATATTTAAACCGAAAGTAGAAGCATTTCTGATGCTTTCTGTATGTTATCCTTTAATATTCAAAGTCTTCTATTCTTTTTATCACCGATAAATCATTGCGCGTAACAACCATGGATGTTAACCAATTTGAATTTTCCCGCGTTACGGCGATCAAATGTAACTTATCTACACTCGTGACATCTTCGAAAATGCAGATCGACGAAGGCGACAGCATGTTCACGGATTGTTCGAAAAGCTTAAACGGAATTAAATAAAAAGCAATTTCCTTACCTACTTGCTCCTCGTTATCGGCCATAATTTCCAGACGGAAATTCGTACGTCAACAACGTTGCAATCACAAACGAATAACCCAATCAAAGTATTATGTATTATTCGCGCGTCGTCGTGCGCAGCTCTCATGGGGGACCGAAAAACCGAAGCAAACTAGTTCCAAACCGGCCTCGATGTGGAACTGGTTCCGTACGCGTCACGAACTGACAGCGGCCATGTTTTGCCCCCCCCCCCCTCCTCTCTCCCTTCCTTCTCCCGTCACGTCCTGCTCCCCGCGCGGCAAACATCTGCACGATGTGTGCGAAACCGTCAATCGCCTTGTACGTGTTTCGAACGCATTCCGAACCGTAACCGGGAACGCGATACGCTCCGATTTCGAAGTTCGGTTCCGATTTGATTCGTAGAAATTATACATGACGGTTTATATTACGCAGACAGATAGGAGTGGTTTAGGCTTGACGCAAACCGTTTGTCGAGACTGTTTCACGTCAAATGGAAACCTGTTGTCGAGCCAACTAGTTTTTGAGGCGAATATGTTCGGCGGGGATACTTTCTAATAGAAGAGAGTTAGAACATCGAGTATATATAACGCAGCTTCGTAAATGCATAATTCTTCGAATTTTCCTGAGTTATAATCATCTAATAGAAAAGTTGTTACATTGGCAAACATGATTGTATTTATATCTCTAAATATACAATTGGGATCTTAATTTTATGTTTATTGAAATAAAAGTTATTGTACTTCTTATTAGTAGAAAGTGAGATAGCGCGAATATGCAATTCAATTATATAATTATCGCGCGCACGCAAATCATGAATGATATATAATTTTCTAATTAAACTGATATGTGAATATCTTTTTTCTTTTCAATTTGTATAATTACTTATTTCAATGCTTACCTTTCATTAAGTTTTTACCGTTAACATAGGAATTTCTCAAATCATATTGCGCGGTTTTTATGCTATAGATATTAAAGACTTATAAAATATAAATAAATTATAGCTTAGTCCATTTTCGCTTTTAATAAAATAATTACATTTTCAAACTGGACGTGTGATCTGGAATAAGTTGATCTCTTAAAAAATGTCAATTTTATATTATTGTTTCTTTATAAACAATTTTTGAATTACGCATTTTATCAAACATTTATTAAAATTTCTACAAGAATACATGCATGGACTCTATTGTAACTTCTTTACATATCTAAATATTAATTTACACGATATTTTCCATTATTTGTATATGTGTATGTGTGTGAATTTCCTCATGACTTTTAATATATTAAACAAATTAACGTTTTGAAAGTCTAACATAACTAATTCCTCGCTTATGCACTCCATTACGTAATGCTTTCATGAAACTCGTGACGCAATCAAATGAGAGTTATTACTTACGCTAACCAGCAACTCGATAGACAGAGATTCTTTAGATATTCTTTTTAATGAAAATATAACTAATTGAAGAAGAAGAATCTTGTAATATCTTTATATTCCTCACATATGTGAAATCAATCGATATTTTACGGTTGAGCCAGAGCGTTCGCCCGGAAGACGCGTTAACGAGTTCTTTTAGATATAAAATGCTCTGCTTCAACATGTTCGGAAAACGCATAGTTGCGGTAGAAACAATTTACGTGACGTATGGATGCGTAAGAACGCGCGTACCGTACGCGGTTTACGACAACTTTTGTACCGCATCGAGAGGAATGAAACTAGCGGGATTCCCGCATCGATGCAGCCAGAAACAGAATGGGAAAAATAAATATCTAGCATTTCTTAACAATAATTCCATCGATTAATTTGAATTAATAATTAAATAACATTGGAGAATTTATTTTATTATTATATATTTTTCTCTTGACGAAAAAATTTAATCTTTGACAGTTAAAACTTTTGATCAGGTAGTAACGTTTTTATAGTATTACTGATTATTGTACATTATTATTTTATTATATCGAGAATATATACAAGTACGTCAAAAAATATTATAATTTTCTTTTTTATTAATTTTATTTAAATTTACTTTTTATAATTTGTCTATCTCTTTTATAAATAAAAAAAGTTGTTATAGTTTATAATTACACATTTCGATTTTATAATTAATTTATAATAAATTGAACTTCTCTTCCATTTTTTCTATAATTTATGTAACTTAAAACTTTTTGACGTTCCGATTTTGAAACTAGTACTATCTTATTTTAACTTTTATTTAAATATTATGAAAAATATCAAGTATTATAATACTTTAAATGTTTTCTGGATCGTGATATTTATTGGTCAGTTACATATAATACCAGTGTGCTTAAAAAAAACTTAACAGCATCTTTTTGATACATCTCGTAAATATCTATGCACACTTCTGGCACAGCGTAATTTAATACCAAAACGCGTAATCGTGTTTTTATTCGTGTAATAGCAACAACCGTTGTTTTTTCTTATGTAATCGCAACAAAATTAAGAATAGGGATTACGCGAAAGTCAGTGTAATACGAACCACGCAAGTCGAGTAAGTAATCGCGGACGATATAACGACCAGCCATAGATAATCACATCAAAAGGAATCTTTCACTGCTTTTACCGATAATTATGTATTTTTTTAAATCTCTCAGACAATTGCCAAATTTGCCAAAATTTATTTAATTTTGCAAGTTATTGTATTCGAGATTTTATTACCTAAATATTTGATGATAATAATTAATAACAAAAATATAATTTTCCTGGAAAAAGATAGATATTAAATTTGAAGATCTTAATATGAAAGTTTAAGTCAAAGTTTTTGAAATATATAAGATTGCTATATTTTGTTCTTTACTTTATATAATCTATTAAACTTGATATAATCAAATTTTTTTACATATTTTAATACAATCTTGATTACTTTCTTTCGACAAAAATGAGATTCAATATAGCAATTTGGTTCACTGGGTAATTATATCTTGGCCAAGTATAGCTCTTTAACTGATATTACGTTGTTACGCGATTATGGAAAGGCATCAGTTCTGATATACAGAGGCTATGCGCCGATTTACTTTTCCTTTGAAGATATCGAATATCTTTTGAACTTTAGAATAAATATTAAACATATCATAATAAATTCAATTCTTACACGTCAAAATAAGTACAGAATTCAAAGACGGAAACTGTAAGAAAGAAACAGATACACTTTAAAATAGGATATTTTATATTTTTCCATATTAAACTTAATTATTATCTGAATATATTAAATTAAAAATTTGTTCACTTTGATGTCCGCATTTATTTCGATAGGTTTTGCAGTTTTAATTTCTTTAACATTACGTTGTAACATTTATATAATAAATATTAAAATGTGTATAAAATTAATATATAAATGAATTATTTGTGTGCACTTAATACTAATAAAAATCATACAAGAATCCCATAAAAAAACAAGCTTTTCATAAAAACTTAAGGATTGTAGCTATCGTAGCCGCAATTGTGTAGCTACTGTTCTTCAGGAAATTTATTGAGAGTTGGAAGAACAATATAGCGATTCCTATCTCATCGTGTATTCTCGCGGAGCGTAATGCACGGTGCGTTGTACGTTTCAGCGTGTGCATTATTGCAAATAAACTTTGTCATGATTGCGAGTGCCGACAGTGCAGGAAGCAGTCCATTTCGCGCGTCGTCTAGGGCAGAGCGCATGTAAATTACGGGAAGGAAGGGACAGCATAATAACACCTACGCATGGATGTAATGTGTAGCGATGGACGCAGAAAGCAGATCGGAAAAGACAAAAGCTGTATCACGCTTAGCCTTCCGGCGTGAGGAAATAATTTCAAAGGAATAAAATAAATGATATCGGTCGCTCATAAATAAAATGGACGTTAGTTTAGGGCAAAATTTATAAAAAATAAAACGTCACGTGTTGTAAGAGTTACATTTTGTGAGAATCTCTTTTAATGAGAACACTAGGTTTTTTTTCAATTTGTAAAGATTTCTTCACTAGTAGGTGAGAAATAAATATTTATAAGAAAGTTATTCAACTGGTCTGCATTCCGTGTTTCGGGTCATCGTGCGTCTCGGTCTTTGATCTCTAAGATCTTTTTCAGATGCATCTTTAGTTACCTTGATCGTCAGGGAATTTTAAAGTAATATTAGCAAAGCTCATTTCCAATAAGAAGTACTGTATATACCGATTCTATTATTATTATTAATTATTCTTATTTATTATACAAACAAGATGAATTATTCAACAGTTCTCATCGATCAGACAAACACGTATAAAGATACAAAGGAATAATTGAATTATCGTAATCCGTTGGTATAACACGAATCAACCCTTAAAACCACGAGTACGGTCACCGCGGCAACCCTAAGTTTCGATTTTTTGTCCTCGTCATGTACTCGATAGGAGCGCCTCCGTCGTTCGCCAGAGTAATGTCACGGAGTGGTTGAACGCGACCGGGGGAGAGGGACGAAGAGGGAAAAGGGAGAGAGAGAGAGAGAGAGAGAGAGGGAGGGAGCGCAACACAATCGGTAGAAGCGAGAAGGGGTGATCCTGTCGCGCACGCAGGAGGGACGGGAGAGGCTGCTGCGCGCGAGAGAGAGAGAGAGACAGAGAGGCGATCTTCGGCGAACGACGGTGGCGGGATCGCGGGGCAGATGGTAGCGCGAGACAGGCGCTGCTTTCGTTCGCCTTTCGTTCGTGAGGGGTTTTGTGTACGCGAGCGGGCGCGCGCGCGCGAGCGAGCGAGCGAGCGGCGGATACTTTCGATTTCGTCGAGTGGGCCGGCTCTCTCGCGGGGCCGCACTCCAGGAGGCGAGCATGCCAGTAGTCGTCGCGCGATAGAGCGACGACGTGTATATTTATTCGCGCTCGCGACGTCGACGGCGGCTCGACGTCGTCCCGTCGTGTAGTTGTA